GACGAGCTAAGATGAAAATAGCTATGAACAAAGCCTATGGGCAAAATTTGGAGTCTACTAGATTTCCAGCTGACTAGCGCTCTATCGTGACAGCGGATTTTTCCGCTCATACGGTGGAACCGTCGGCCTCTGAAGACGACGATTCAGTCGAAACGTTAGGCCTTTGAAATAATGTTCCACCAAACAACCTCGAAAGGCACAAGAAATTTAAAACACTTACAACATTTCGAGGGCAAGAAGAGAGAAGCTGGAGAAATTTGAAATGTTTCATAGTTGGCCACCATGTCGGAACTTCTATGTCCCTTATGGGTCTGTACCCGGATCTGTGGTGCAGGTCATTAAACTCAACTCTCACACCTCGAAATTTTGAACCTATTTGTATTATTCAAAGATTCCTCTTTGAAATAGCTTCATAAAACGCGGGTGGAATCGCGCACCGATCGCAAATGCTGGCTGTCAACTGGAAATTCACGGCTCGAACTTCCGAATCTAGTCACTATGAAGGATTTCCTCTTTTAGGGACCAATGTGAAACCGGTGATACTGTACAAAGTGGTCTGTGAAAACAAATCATCAGCCCAACTTTTCATGAACTTTTTCACTTTTTTTAGCCTATTTGTGGAGATAAACACGCTGGAGTTTTAGAAGAAATCAGTTAATGGCTTAATTTGAAACTCGGTAAAGGCACCGTAAATGTGTTTGAAGACAAAGATTAACTTATTTCAATGGCTTAGACCGCGTGATCTGACGGAAATCGGAATGAAAAAGTCCTCCTAATCACGAAGAAAAACCCCTCAAAACCTAAATGTGGAGACTGTATCTATCAAATTCCTTCACAAGGCATGAAAGCCGTTTTTAAAGAAAAATCGGAACAACATTAAGGCCTTTAGCATCCGAACTTGGCTCTCTGCGAGCCACAAAGCCTAGGAGATCACTTTCTGTTCTATTTTGAAGAAAGGTTCATGTTCTAACTAACGAAAAAAACAACAGTTACATTAAAGGTAAGCTGAAATTCATCCCTTTATGGTGGCACGAAATTGGTAATGTAGAGCTAACCTGAGCGCTGGTTAACTGGATGAGACCGAATCCAATCGGGCTCATCTTGAATGGGTCAGCAAAACAATTGCCTGACGTGACAGCCAGTCATCTGCAGGCCGCATCTTTTCCGCCAGGCAGCTATGGACATGTTGGTCCCTATGGGATTCACGCATAACTCCCTGGCAGATTGAAAAACCCGCACCCACGGGAAGTGGACATCAACGCGCAACCTGCGCAGCTCATTAGAATATGAAATTATTATAAATGACAGGGGGTATGAGGAGAGTGTTGTGATGGCAGAGAGGAAGGCAAATTATCCGCTCAGATGCAATTCCATTGACGAAAACCTCATTAAAAGATAAACGAGAAGGACTGGCTGAGCAAAGACTGACGCAGCATAATACACGCCTAGAGGAGAATTGGTCAGAAAAAGGGGTAACGTTTGAAATTTCTGGGAACAGAAAACCTCCTCAGGGATATTTTCTGTATGTAGTGCAATCACATGCAGTCATTGAATACTTCAGTAAGCGTCTGGCAGTGAATAGAATTGTAGCCAAGGCTGGCGGCCTCATTTAATCAGCTTCTATATAATGACCGACAATTTTGAAAATGATAAAAACGATCGATAATGCTGAAAATGGTAAAAACGATCGATAATGTTGAAAATGATAAAAACGATCGATAATGCTGAAAATGGT